TAGGACTATTCCTAAATATTTTCAAACAAATTTATGATTCTCGGAAATCTACTCATTAATTTCTGAAATTTTCTTGCGCAGTATGAGATAACTCCCAAGAAAAGCGCAAGTCATCATAACATCAAAATGACGTCAAATAGCTGTAAATTTGATTATTAAGAATCACTTTTCAATCATTCGCCACTCAAGTTATTGTGACTCTGTTATTCTGTTTGGACTAATATCCTCCTTGCATAAAACTAAATTTGTCGATTGTTTCAGTAAAAATTCGCTCATTAGTACATCAGACATTGGAATGCCAATTAGAAAGGAATTTCCCGTAAAATTATTAAAATAAAGGACGAAATTGAATTTTGAAAAAAAAATTAATAAATCTAAAGGATTATAAAATAAAGCTACTTGAAATAGAGAACTTAATAATAAAGGATGTAAGATCACCGTAGTAAATACCCTGATATTCCACTTTCGAACAAGCTCCCTCTTTTCGTGATAAAACTTGACTCGCGTTGAAATATGGAATGTCGAAGATTATTATTTATCGCGAGCAATCGTGATTTATCGTCGATCTTACGAAGAGCCGATCGTAGATTCGTCGGGAAATCTGTTATCGGCTATTGCGGTTAGGAGTCGGCGTACTTGTGTTATGATGAAACCTTTCTCTTTCTCTCTCTCATCCTCTTCTTCGCGCTCCATCCTGCTTTCGCTCTCCTCTCGTCTCCGCTCGTCCGACCGCCACGAGTCGGCGGCGATCAGCGGGAGTGGCTCTCTCGCATTCCGGTGCCTCTTCGCCGTACCGATCGCGCCGACAGCGTTTTGCGATCGAGAGCACCGAGCGGCAAGCACACCGATTTCCGGATCGGAGGAGTCCGACGAGATGCCGCTTTTGAAGATCCGCCGGCAAGATCCTAATTCGATGCAGCTTTTGCCCGCTCGGTATCTCGGCGAAGGCGGATCGCGCGAGTGCGCCGCGGCGCATTATAATGCGTGACGTCGATCCAGCCTCTCAATGTCACGACATTCAGCTCGGCGACGATCCACGTTGCGACGTCGCGTGAAGAGATAAATTCGTGGTGTCGTGCAAACTTGAAATTTTGGACGTCACCTGCGTGAAAAGGAAAAGTTATGTGAAAGTTTAAGACCGAGTCTTACAGCGAGTTCGATTGGACGCACTAATGCGCATTGGTGCATATTAAAATCGTTGTAAATTGATTTAATTTGTGTGAGTGTAAAAATGAAATGCAAATATTTATAAAATACATATGTACCTAACAGCACAATAAAGTGTATTGAGGATTTCGCGGTTTAATCCGTTAATTATTATACATACATAATTATGTTAAACACATTTTTATGTCAATTTGTACGATGGCTTTAATTTTTAGAGAAGCGGGGTCTATTTTTTTATCTTACAACTTCTTGAATAAGATTTGTTATAATTCATTATTTCGTTGTATTCTTTACCTCAAAACAATATAACACCGTCAGTGCTACTATAGTGGCCACTTTCTCATCTTGTGAAGATTAATCTTTAGAGAACGAGGGTCAATTTTTAAAATTCTACAGCTTTTTCTGAGTAAGATTTGTTATAATTTATTATTTCATTACATTCTCTGCCCAAAATATACTGTTTCAGCATCACTAAAGTGGTTTTGCCGTCTTATGAAAATTACTATTTAGAAAGACGAGGGTCTATTTTTAAAACCTTACAGCTTTTGCCTGAGTATACAAGATTTATTATAATTCATTATATCCTTTGCCTTAAAATATGACGCTGTTTCAGTGCCACACTATAGTAGCTTTTTCGACTTGTAAAGGTTAATGTTCACCAAGGCGCGCTGTATGTGAACACTGAGTGTGTCCACTCGAATTCGCTATTATAGTCTCGAAAATGAGGGTAAGAGAGTTTAGGGTCACTCTCTATTCACAAATCTAACCGAAACCTGTATAGGTACTTAACGTACCGACGGTGCTATCGGAGAAGAAAAGATACATCGATATCTCTTCTGTCATTTTTTCTTTCTTTGTTTTTCTCTTTTGTGACACTCTTCCGTAGCCAAAGCTCGTAATTCACGAATCCTAATTCACCTTGGGAGCCGAGCGAGCGAGCGGGCGCGGTGGCGCCGCTGCCGCCGGTCGAATCTTCCGCGTGGCTATATATTTTTGCAAACTCGGCGGTGACACTATCTCACAGATTCGCGCGGCACTTAACAGCTTACGGTGACACGCATAATTCGCGGAATTATATTTACGTTCCCTTTGTGGAGTGACGCGCGTGCCAAAATCGCGCAGCGAGCTCACCCGTCCGGCCTTACTTTGTAAATAAGTTGTATTTACCCGACGCGCAACGGCGTTGTATATTGGACGTCGACCGACGACTAGCGAGTATAATAAACCAGATTCGCGTATGTCAATTTGTTCCTTATCGGTCGGATAAATATTTGCGCCGATAATCGCTCGTGTGCTCTGATTGTTTGCCACGTTGCGTGGCGTTGTTGTCACGCGTCTGAAAAAATCGTAAAAACTTGGAAAATCTAGCCGTGAACAATGAACATTCGGGCTGGGTTCGAGGAGTGCGCTATCAGCGCTATTTGTGTTATGCTATCCTTGTTTCACGTCTAGTGGACGATGATAGAATAACACAAATAGCGCTAATAGCGTCTCTTCGAACGCAGCCAATACTTTGTGATTTACGTTCAGCAAGTTCGTGGAGATTGTTATATCTGGAATGTTACATCTCCTTTATTAAAAGCTTCATAATTAAAAATAATTTGCGAGATGTTTCGTCGGTTGGATGAGATAATATTTCTTTGCTGATGTATTTTGATAACCAAGATTAAATACGTTATATAATTAAGTATTTTATCATTAAGATTATTTTTTGTTGAGATGAGCGAAAAAAATATTAATTTCAGGAAACGCCGAGCGAGTTTTGGTTTCTATTTATGTAACAACAGCTCTCGCGTGGGAAACAGGACAAGGATTTGGTGAAAGAAAGAGAAGGAGAGAATTCTCCTGTGTGAAATTCGCTCGACGCGACGCGGCAACGACGAGGGCGAGGCCAGCGGATTTTTAAATAATTGCGTCCTAAAAATAGACGGCTCTCTTCTATCTTCACGATATCCTTGAAGTCCCATTCCTTGTCTTTGCCCTCGCCGCTTTCTCTAATGTTTTAGGGTACGATGTGGCAGGAAATGCTCCTCCTGTAGGAACGAGATTTTGGAATTCAAAAGGAATGCGACCGACCTCTCATCCAACTATTCGTCTGACGTCATCTTCTCTTTCAGTGAATGGACCTGGCCTTCTATGGTCTATCCCTAAAACTATTAGCATTTTTGTGTCGAGTCTAAAGTCTTTTATAATGTAACCATACTATTCACAATACTCGTAAACTTTAAAAATAATATTTTATTTTGAGACATTTTATTTTTAGTTATCAATTGTCCTTATTTTGTTAAATATCTGTTTCGTTAAATAAAGTCAAAACCATACAATGAGATTAGATATATCATTAGTATAATTATATCGAAATAGATTTTTATAAAAGGTCAATGAAATGATTTTCGAAATAAAATCATAGATTTTTAGGAGACCAATAAATCACTAGATGAGATGTAAGAAAAACGAGTTTTAAAAGACATTAAAATCGGACATAGATTGTTTACACAAACAGATTAACATTGTTTCATCGCGAATTATAGTTGGTCATTCTGTTTGTTATACGAGACTTTTGTCACAGTGCACGCAAATAAATTAACCGTCTCGAGCGAATAATTATTTTGGACGATTCTGTCACCTCCTTTGTGCCGCCACGAAAGAGAAAGAAGGACAGAGAGAGAGAGAGAGAGAGAGAGAGAGAGAGAGAGAGAAAGAGAGACATTTTCGTGAGGATTATGAATCACACGTCTGGCGATTATACCTTGGCCGTTTCTGTCTCTTCTGCCCGCGGAAATTGTTGCTCTTAATTGTTTTCGCTCTGTGGTCGATCGTGAATTCTTGCGAACAATTAACGCCATTGATCGCCACTGTCGGCTTTAACATTCAGCCGCTAAAGGTTGTATCGAGTGACAGGGTGCAGTTTATCTTTCTTCGGCGGTATATAAGAAAGGAGATTTATTTTGCTATCGGATTTACATCTCCCGCGTGCGTTCGCCGCGCTGCATAGAACGCGGTGACGAATCGTTTTACCGTTTGGCACGATGCAACTTAAGAGGCGAACGCATCTCTCGTGCGCACCTGCGCCGAGAGAATCGAGTTTATTCCGTCTGCTGAAGCGGAGAAATCCGAGACTAGGTATTACGTCGATTAACCGCGCGCAGGATGAGACGCGGACGTATGGTCATATGAAATTACATGGAACCTCGCTGCTGGTGTTTACCGACAATAAGCCTTTTATGCAACGCACGCGTCGTGAAATTCTTCCCCCGGCTCGGAAAATTCTCGTCGTTCGATCCTCACGCGATAACGAACGCCTCTATTCAATGACGACGCTTTTATGTTCACAGAAAAGACGGTTTTGTTGAATAGTTTTTGTTTTAGTATCTCTATAGCTAGACACAGATTTCAAAATAATTTTAATGGACTATTAAAATACATAGGATGTTCAAACAGATTACTAAAATGTCAAAATTTTTTGCAACATTGCTCATCATTAATTAAAATTTCTACGTAACGACTTTGATAATCTAACAAAATTATTTTCAGATTTGTATCTAGTCACAAATTTTTAAATAGTACTTCAACAAAATTGTTTCTTTTATGTTGTAAAATCGGGTTAGCGTCGTTGTACATAACTCAGTGATACATTGTTTAATGTTCTTTTTCCTTTCCTCTCTCAAGTACACAACGATGATTATGTTTCTCTCTATCTTTATTCTATAAAGCGAAACATGTGCGAGAGCGAAAAAAAGAGTGAGTGATTGAGAAGGGAAAGGAATTAAGAGAGGAAGAAATAGTCTCGGTGAGGAAAGCAGCTTCTCAAGGGGTTGCCCGTTTATTTTCAGATTGTGCGCCCAGTGAAGGGGATCAACGTCGGTGCAGAAACAGCACGCCCCTGCCACTTCCCGGCTCGCTTACCACCAACGGAGAAGGTAACTATGTCTTCAAGGTTATATGTACCCCATATGTTCACCGACCCCACGATGAGAGATGTACGGGACGTCCCCCGTTGAGTCATTCTAACGATAATGGATTGTTGAAATTTCGACGTGAAATTTCGAGAAAGTAAGATGATCCGTTTCTCGTCGTGTCATATCTAATTTTTTTTCTCTTTTATCTTTGAATAATCGTTCAGTCTATCGGTCGATTCCCGAGATACCTCCGACTACGCCAATGATCGATGACTTACACCTACATCCACGTGGTTAACCTTGATCGGCGCCACGATCGGTTTTCTTCTCTCATGCATTTCTTCCCTATCTGAAAAAAATAAGAGCGGGTTTAATTTTAGGCGAGCTTCATTCTCCTTCGAGTTACGGTGAATTTCAAGAGATAATCGCGATTCAATTTAATTTTACATTTTCTAACACATACAAGTTTTACACGCGCTAAGATTCGAATAAATTAACTTTTCTCTTTTTCCATATATTTATTATATTTTCTACAAAAAAAAAAATCACTCGCGTTCTATATTCTCTACATTCTTTGGAGTGAAAATTTCACTCTAAAGAGTGAAGAAAATTGAGCCAGTCTTTAAAAAGGATTGCACAATTTTCATTCTTTAAGAGATTTCATTCTTCGGAGTGAGATTCACTCTGAAAGTTTTAGAGAGTATGTATAAAAAGCAAGATTCTCTCACATTTAATTTACAATATGCCTGTATTATAAAGGATAATGACTTTTTGCTTCCCAAGATTTTTTCGAAAGAACAAGACAATGTTTTTACAATGTCGACCAGCGTTACTGAAGAAATTTCCTCAGCACGCACGTTCCTCCGGGCTGACGCGCACGTAGCTTTTCACGCATGACGCACCGCACGGATCGCGGACTCGTCGTTTTTCGGACCGCTCTCGGGCCGCTCTCGCGTTGCTGCTTCGTGGAACGCCTGAAACGCTTTTGGCCCCAGCCAGAAGCAGGAAAGTGAACACGCTCTGCTCTCTCGTCGTCGACTCGTACCGACGATTACTCTCGTTTCTCCGCAACGTCGTTCAATAATTTTCTGTCGTTGCGCCATCGGACCGAGTATACAAATTTTTTTCAAGGTGTAGATGAAAGTCCGAATGGCATTAGCGATAAGGAAATAATTTGCAAGAATAAAAAAAAAATACACACAAGAAAACTGGTTCTAATGATTAATGTAACGTATTTATTTATTTATTTATTTATAATTATTGAATTTATTTTAAAAGAGTACTTCAATTATAAGCAGATTTTTTGGATTACGTTCTATGAGATGTAATTTGATCTCTAGGAGAAATAAGTCTTTATATAAGCGAATGATGACTTTGTTTATTCTCTTGATTGATCGCAAATTCCCATACCAGTGAAGAAAAATGAATTAATTATAATATTTACGACAACACGTTGTGGCGAGTTTTTCCTCTCGCGTGTCGAAGTCTTTTTACGTACTTTTACTGCCTTCGCCAATGCAAACGCTGCTGGTCTAACGACGTCAAACATTCCCAAGTCGACAACAAATTGCGTCTGTGTCCGGCGCATCTTGCGATTTTACAAGAGTGAGTAAGAAACGATGCGTATGTTCACGCATTTAATCAGAGTAATCGTGTAGAATGCAATTTATTCCAGCAATTCCAGATTAAGAGAAGGTCATTTATATTATTATAATAGTGTAAACATCTAAAACAAATCTTTTGGATTTTTTAATTCCTTTAAATTACATTTCAGATGCGTATGAACTTTTAAATTATTAAATAACTATTAAGTTATTTTACTTTTTCTCCTTTAAGTGTTTTTTTTAATATTTCTGATATTTATTTATAGTATTTTAATTTTGTGACATGAGACAAAAATCAAAGTGTTAAAATTGTAAATAAAACACTAAAATTATATATCCATTGAATAAAAAATACTATATGCTAGTATTTCTTGGCCGGATTTGAAATTTCTCAGATTTTATAGTAACATTAAAAAGTTACACGTTCGACCTGTCGTCACAGCAGGCCATTTACCGGAAACAAGAATCATCCTGACGGGATTGCACTTTCGTCGGCTTAGCAAATGTCGCGTATATTCGCGGGATGTTGAGCGCTGCAATATAATACGCGAAGTGTAGAGCACCGAAAGGGATGACATGGAATCATAAACACGCGCGCGGTTGCCTTTTTATTTGAGTCAGTTATAGATAGAACACGCTGTGCTTCCGGGAGAAAACAGAAATATCAGGATTCGATCGAGCGTTTTCCAACTGACGCCGCGATCATCCAATCGTTTTAGAAGGCTTTTTCAACTCGAGAGGCTTCATTTATTTCTTATATAAATTCAGCGATAAATCATGGTTAATTGCAATTTAGAAATTACATAAGATAAACGTCCCAGTATCCGGATATGTTATGTCTGAACATTTACACAAGACTTTATATTATTATTAATCTCAAATATATACTCGTACTTTCTAAAATATATTATAATTCAATTGCAATCTTTAAATACAATTAAATTATAATATTGTATAATAATAAAAAAGCATTTGAAAAATTAGTAATAATAAATTTTGTGATATAGTCACTGGAACATTTAGCTTATAAAAAAATTAAGATATTTTGTTTTCACCATTACGGACGCAATTCGATGTTTTACTAATTTATCTATTAAACGATAAACCCGTTGAATTAAAATTTCAACTTCGCGGAATACGGGCGATGGATCCATCGTCGATCCATCAAACGGTGCCATACGTCGTCGGACGCAGGCTGCTGCATCTGCCGCAGGACGAGAGGAAGAAGAAGGCCGTGCAGGAACGCGGGTAGGAAGGAAAGAGAAGGGAAAAGCCGGCTCCCGGGATGCAGGCAGAGGTTTGAGAATGGCACGATAGGTCGGTCGGCTAAGGTGGGTGGCATTCGGCGCGACTGTTTGAGGGAACAGGGGGACCCCTGGCGCCAGACAGCTGCCGCGTGTCTCGACCTCGCTTGCGCTAGCTCGTTCGCCTGCTTCGGCCTCTCTCTCTCTCTCTCTCTCTCTCTCTCTCTCTCTCTCTCTCCTCTCTCTTCTCTCTCTTCTCTCCTCAACCGTCGCGCCATACCCCGCATGGCTCTCCTCGCATCGTCTCGCCTCGCTTCTCCAATCCACATACATACATATACGATCTATACGTTGTATGCACGTGTATGCGCCTACGTGCCCGACTTGGTCCGCTATTTTATTGATTTATTTTGGCGCTAGGCTCTCTGTTTCTTTCTCTCTCTTTCTCTCGTTCTTCTCTCTTTCTCTCGCTCTTTTTCTCTGTGCTGCTCGCTTTGGACGTCCGTCGTCGTGCTGCCTTCGGCCGACGATCGATCGAAATGCGTCGGTCTCGTTTCTCAAGAATCTCGAGCACAGAGTCCCACTGACGAAGAAGACGCTTGTTGCTGGAGCTTAGTTTCCAAGATTCTCGTAATTGATTCTGGAAATGTACTTAACTCCACGAATGCGCTTCGTAATTCTTCAGAACTGAACGATAGAAATTCCAAATGAGATTTATAAAAAATTTACATACGCAACTTTTAAAAATATTTTTGAAAGTTTTTATTTGTAGGTACTGCGATTTAATATTCTTACATCACATAATAGCTTCGATGACTGGTTTCATGAGTACATTTGGAATATTCTAATTCATAAAACTATTGTTTATTCAAGACTTTCATGATTCATTGCCATTAATGTACATTATCGTAAGATATAATCATGTGAGATTTATGTTCTCTTCTCTCTTTCATTACGTCTCTTATATTCTTATTATATCTATTGTATTACTGTCATCACATTTTCATCACGCTATTCATATTCAACTATTCTATTGTCTCTTAAAAAAAAATTGTCAACGCCGAACAGGAACGCGACTACCGCATAGTAAATTATCTCTCGCCTTCCCGATTCACGCAAGCATGAAGCTCTCGGTTTCCGCGCTTGCACGGCAATAAATTGTCTTCCTACATACGCGACGCAGCTCGACTCTCGAATGTGTAGCCCGATAATTCGTTGCTCGCGAATATTTTACAGTCGTAGGTTCGGGGGATGGCAACGTGTTGCGTGTGAGTGCTGTCCCGTACGGGTGCGTGTCGCAGCGGAGAGGCACGTGGATATATCCCGGCGTACGGTGAAAGCAACAGGTTGCTCGTGTCCATTCCTCTCCTCCGCTGCGACGTCGGTCCGGAGCACCCTTCTCCGCATCCCTTCCGAATGGGGCGAATACTGACTGGCGCCATCCCTTGGTACGACAGCCGAGGTAAACAGACGGACCGTTTTCATTCATCGGATCCCGGAACGACTTTTCTGAATTGGAATCCCGTCGAGGTCGTCGGTCCTTGCTCTCGGGAACAAAAGCGAATATACAGTGTCTCGTAACTTTCTGTACCTGCGTCGAATCAATTGGTGCAACGTTTTCTCTGGGCGAATCTCCGAAGAAGCTAAATTGCCTTTTAAAATCAAATATCTTTTTTGGCAATTAAGGCTCAAATTACTATTAATTAAATTAACATTTAAATTTGTGTGTTTCTAGGCTATTTTTTAACTGTACGGGTTAATTAATATGGAACACTTCATTTACATTTACATCAAATATATGCCGTAACTTTATAACTTTTTTTGGATATAATAATTCAGAATGTTATATTGTCATTGCGTAACTTTTTTAGTATATACATATAATATATACGTAACGACAATATAACGACATCGACTCGTTAAGAGTTACTGAATCCTGGCACAGGTCACAACAAACCACGGACTTTCGTTTTGGTTTCAAATAGTTGCATCTCGTACGTCACGAAGTACATTATTTGCGTTGCTTGCACTTGTTGCACTCAGAATCTTCGCTTTCTCTCTCTTCAACGACCTCATTTTCATCTTACAATATTACAAAGAATCTGTCTTTAAGATATTTATCGTCAGTTTTGAGACACCCTGTATATTTATCTCGTTTTAAGTGCAAAATATT